CGTTTTGGCTTCCTCGTACGGCAGCCAGCGCTGCGGCCGGGCTGAGACCGTGTCTCACCTCTCTGCATCCCTGACTTGGTGAATCCAAAGGCAGCAGTGCCTCTGGCACGACAGAGTAGGTGGCTTTGATGCGCTGGAGCAAAAACAACCCGTGCCTTTACTGGCTTTTCTGAAGGTTTTAATAACATCTGAGAAAAGGTGTTTTCTTTTGTTCCGATTATATTCCTAAGCTTTGTAAACTGAACTGTTTTCCTGTGGTATGCTATAGATCAGCTTTTGCGAGGTATTAATTTGGTCTGTGAGGGCTAGGGAAAGTGAGCCTTTTGTCACAAGGCTTATTTCAGCTGTACTTAGCTCTTTGTCTCAACTGGAAATTCTTAGGGGTCTGCAATCAGAAAGGTCAGCAACTGAGTATTAGAAACACTGATAGATAGTGCATGAAAATGAGACCTAACCTCTAAAATGAAAATTGACCTCTAAAATGAGAAATGAATCTCTATTACCCTTGAACAACACCCCGATGGCATTTCTAAATCCCTCTAATTTCGTACAATGTACTTTGTGTGCATCTCTCGAACTGGAGTAGAGAGGGAGTCCTTGTAAGGTGAATTCTTTGGAAAGCACACATCATTGACTCCAGTGTGAATTTTAACAATGGCTTTGGTGTCAGCAGAGGCAGGTGAATGCCAGCTGCTTTTGAAGTGCTTCGGATGCATTCTGCGGAAATGCTCCACGATTGCAGATTTTAAGCTCTCTTCTGTGCTCAGGATACAGGAAAGAGAGCCAGTTCCCATCTGCTCCCAGCGCTCCGCGAACACGGCTCGTGGGCCTTGGCAAACCACGCGACCTCTGTGTGCTTTTCTTTACTCATGTGGTTGGCAGTCCTTGGTTTTGACTAGGGAGTCTGGTTGAGTTGGTTTTGAGTATTTCCGAGCGCTCCTTGACTCCCGACGGGAAGTTTTGTTGAGTTCAGAAACACCTACGCGCAGGAGCGCTCGTGGCAAGCATCGCCGCTTCCTTCCAAAGACAAACAAAACTGATGTTAGCAACTTTCTTCTGCTCACTCTTGCCCGTTTCCCGCTTTGCACGTGGCTTGTCCTGCTGCTTCCAGCTTTTAGTAGGAGCAGCTTGGAGTTGGTAGTTGAGCTGCGTGCTGTGGGACGCGGTTGCACTTCGTTGCAGGTAGGCAGTTGTGTTTGCTGATGTGGGAGACTGGGTTTAGGTTTTTGAAGTTCAGGGAAGATGTGAAGAGGTGAAGGAGGGAAAGCAAAAAAGGGTATGTTTCAAATCAAAGCCTTTTGATGCTGAAATTGCCCAACTCAAACTCTCGTCTTCACACATCAGGGCTTAATGCTGATAGTGATTTACTTACACTTCCTAGTTAATAATTAGACATTGGGAGACACCATATATCACTCCTAATGGAATATATGGGGTCTGGTGTGAGTTTTCTGTTTTGACTAATAAATTTTAACCAGAATCGCCAAGCTTAATGAAATATTACAGCTTCAGAAGTGTTTTAAGTCTTGCGCTGTGAAAACAGTGTTGCTTTATTCAGTAAACGAATTTATCATTCGTTGTGTATCCTGAGCCCTAGCTGGCTCTGGAGCATGGGCTGAATGCAAGACTCTGAACTAGAAAGCGGAAAAACTAATCAAATCCTTAAAGACCAAAGGCAGCGAGGCAGGTCTAGACTGACTTTTTCAGTGGTAGCCTCTGGCTACATCCACTTTTATTTTAGTAACCATTGTTAGCATGATTTATAACTTCAACTTTAAGACGTACACTATTTAGATGTAATAAGATGCTTCGCAGCTTTTATTTCTGTTTCCGAATTTCCCTCTTGTCTCTGCTCTTTTTTTACTTCCCCCTCGTCTTTGTCTTCCTCCCCTCTCCCCAGGAGCGTCCCCAGTCCTGCAGTTGACACTGCACTGGAAGAACATTTCACTGTCAGCCCCAAGGTCAACAAAACCGTCTCTGTCCCGACTAAGGGTTGATGGGCTGGTGGCCTGGCTAGCGCAGAGGAGACGACTGTGTGCAGGGTTCAGTCTCCTACTGCTGCACAAAGCTTTTCCCTACTAATTCTGGTGAGAGGATCCTCCATACACAGAGGAGAGGATGTGCCCTCCAGCAGATAACGGGATCCCTGCTGTCGCCCTGCTAAGTGGCACACAGCTCAATCCTTGCCCGTCACAGCCGTCACGGGAAACGCTGCCTTGCCAAAAGGCGAGTGCTCCTGTCCAAGGAAATCCTGCCCACTTCCCAGATACAGCACTAGGAACCTGCCCCAAAAACGCATCTGGTTCTAACCAGTGTAGACACAGCTGTAAGACCTTGGTGGCACTCCTTAGTCCACCCGCCCGTGGATTTGGTGGGCCACCAGGAAGAGCAAGTCCTGCCCCAAATGTCTTGCTGCTTCGTTCTCCAAGAGTGTGGGACGTCTGTGCATGGCTGTGTTCGCGTGCCTTGGCCTCCGCCGTTACTACTCAGCAGTTTTTGCTGTGCATCCTGCCAAGGAAGCGAGATAAGAGGAGACAGTAAACACACCTTATTGCTGGTACAGGAAGGAACCACTAAAACCTTGCTGCACCATTTCTTGCTGCTGTTAAAACCTTCCCTCCCACCTTGCTTTTGACAGAATATTGACTAGAAACCAAGATCCCATTTCTGCTTAGCCTTAAGGGCAGCTGTTTACAGAGTGGCGGTGTTACATAGGTTTACTGTGTCGTATGTCTGTGTAACACTGGATTTGGATCTTGTATTTAGCTGCCAGAAGTGACTGTGATGAAGTGGGAGAGATAAACTGATAGATTGTGTGCCAGAAAGATGTTGGGAATCAATCAGATAAACAGGGCAGAGAAGTAGCTTGCTGTTTCCTAGTGATAATAAACCAGTGGCCTCTCTTCCTGGAATTTTTTAAATGTAATTGCTGCAGTAATAATCTCCAAGAATAAGCAAATAGAAAAAAAACTCATGGCAAGTTTTTAATTATGCTTGAATCACTCTTTTTGTTGTAATACGATGTATGCCTTGAAGGAGAGAAAAGATGTGGACAGGTATAAAAATAAAGCAACTCTGTTGCTTGACTGTCTTTTATTTGAAAATAAAAAAGGGTCATTAAACGATACCCATCTACCTTTATGGCATTTTTCTTTTGTGGGGTGCACGCCTTTTTCCTCCCTCCCTTCGGTAGCGTACTTAAGTGATCAGAAAGTGGGGGGGTCGGCGAGTTACTCAGGTAACACTGTGCCCGGGACAGCTTTCGGTGTCCGCTGGGCTCGGTGGGGCAGCGCCAGTGCCCGGGAAGCTGTTGGAGCGCCGGCTGCTCCGAGCACAGTGGTAGACAGGAGCTAAGCTGTGCTCAGAAATGTCGTTGTCTCACTTGAGCTGGTATTTCCTTCTGCCGAGGGGGATGTGGAGCTTCTTTCTTGTCCCCTTGCCTTGTCCGTGCGTGCCGTCTTGGTCCAGGTGCAGGCCATAGCCAAGGCCATGGCTGCTGCCCAAGCTCTGGTTTCCATGACTGTCACTGTACCTCGATTGACCGTTGCAGTCCAGATTCCTACATGAGCAAAAGTGTAGGATGGAGGAAAAACATCTCTCATCCTTTCTTCTCTAGCATCTTTGTGGAATTGCCTGGACTCTCTGGTTTCCAGGTGGGTCTGTTTCAGGTGCTTCCTGAGCTGAAGCAGAAACTTCACTAGTCAGTGGAATGTTGGCATCTAGAAAGCAGCCTGTGCCCCTCAGTTTTGGAGGGTTTATTTCTGTTCTTTGTGTTGATATGTTGGCTAATACCCAAGGCACAGCACGTACAATTTACAGTGAGTGGTGATAAACATATAGCACTGGTCAAGTATCCAAAAAGGCTGTTCACAATATTCTTTGGCTGCAGGAAGCAAAAAGAACAAAACCCAACCCTCAGGACATGAAAAGAAATAGAAAAGCC